AAAAAAAGAAACACAATGCTTTGCATTCATAGCTTTTCATAATCATCTTCTGTGAAACCTACACTGAATGTAAAGCAAGATTGTGGACACAAGGAGTCAAAAATATATTAGAGCTACCTTACTGTGTAACCTGAGTAATTGTCATCTGAGGTTGGTTCAGGGGATACTGGTAGTTAAATTTATTAACTCATTTTTAAAAATTCCAAAGAGTTGTTGGGTGTGGTGGTGCATACCTGTAACCACCAGCACTCAGCAGGATGAGGCAGAAGTTTTGGAAGCCAGCCTGGGACACATGCCAAGATGCTGTTTCAAAACTCCAAACAAAAGTTCAAGAGTGACATAATACAAGCACATGCCACATGGCAGTTTGCCATGTCACAAAGAGAGAGAAAAATAAGAAGAATGCACAAAATCTTTCCCCATTGGTAGGGCTCAAAATGGACCAATTTTTACCTATGTTTTTTTTTTTTTTTGGTGGTACTAGAGTTTGAAATTCAGGGCCTTGGATTGTCTAGGCCAGGTTAAAAGTTTACTATACCACTTTAACCATGCCCTCAGCCCTTCAAAAATGAATGATTTTAAGATTTGGTAAGTCACTTATTAGATGAAACTTAAGCACCCTGAAGAGAATAAAGCTCTTTGTTTTGTTTAAACAATTTATCCTTTTTATAGAGACATGCACTAGACAAATAAAGACTATTAACTTGTGTTACACTTGAAGGTCAAGCATGCTACTAAAATGCCCAAAATAAAATTTCCACAAATAATTTATACTGCAACTTAAAAAATGGATAAAATTATTCAAATCAGATTAGAAATTCTAGCCCCTTTTTAAATCTATGATGAAAGAAATTAGTTTAATATATTAATTGACTTTTGAAATTTCTCTGGAAAAAATATTTTTTTTGGTTGGTTTGTTTTTATTTATTTATTTTTTTTTTCATTTTCTTTTTATTATTCAATGTGCATACAAGGGAATGGTTTCATTTCTCCCCACTGCCCCCACCCCCTCCCTTACCACCCCACCTCCGCCCCCTCCCTCTCCCCGCCCCTCAATACCCAGCAGAAACTATTGTGCCCTTATTTCCTAATTTTTGTTTTGTAGAGAGAGTATAAGCCATAATTAGGAAGAACAAAAAAGGGTTTTGCTGGGTTTGAGATAAGGATTAGCTATACAGGCATTGACTTCACATGATTTCCTGTGCGTGGGCTTACCTCTAGGTTAATTTCTTTTGATCTAACCTTTTCTCTAAGTACCTGGCTTCCCCTTTTCTATGGCCTCAAGTTGCTTTAAAGGTATCTGCCTTTAGTTGGAAAAAAATATTTAAAAGTTATTTTTACCCAATGCCTAACCTACCCCTTTGGAAGACTCCCGCAGTCAGTGCCGAACTTTCCTTCACTCTTGGATGCATTTATAGGAGACATTGGCATCATGGGGAAGATGTCCTTGTATGTTTCCTCCATTTCCCATTTCAAAGTTGTTTTGGGAATTATAACCTAGAAAAACCAAAAAAACACTTTACATGGATAAACCAGTTGGATTAAAACTGGCAAAAAGTGAGAAAAAAAAGTTTTTCCTTTTACGGTTTTATTTTCCTTTCCTTCCTTACTTCTTTCGCAAAATAAACTTTGCCTTAAAGGGCTAAAAACTGTTAATGTTGCCAACATATTTAACAAAAAGTCCATTTCAGTAATATTTGTAATTCATTCAGTCGTAAACTACCAATCCAATAGAAGTACACCTCTGAAGTAGGCATTTCTCATCCTCCAATTAGGGGTGGGAAAATGAGGCTGGAAAATATGAAATTTTGCCTGTCATTCACACTACTACTAAATAATAAGACAAAAGGTTTTCAATCCAAATCATTTTCCTTTAAAATTCCTAGTTTTCTTTTACTTATCTCAACGGATTTTTTACTTTTAGATTCTTCAGGGTATGTTTGAATTGAAATTGGGTGCATGACATTGGGTACATTTTAGGTTGATAATTGTTTATTCTCCTTTAGGTCTATTTCCCCTATTTGATATATTGGAAATGTCCTTCTTTATCTCGTTTTGATCAATGTAGTTTGAAGTCTACTTCGTCAGAGATAAGTATTGCTACTCCTAGCCTGTTTTTGCCGGGGCCATTGGCTTTGGTAAATCTTCTTCCAGCCTTTTCATCCTAAGCCTATGCTTATTTCTGTCAGTTGGAGATGGGTCTCCTGTAAGCAACAAATTGTTGGATCTTCCTTTTTAAGCCATTAAAAAAGTGCCAAAACAAAAACAAAAGTGCCTTTGATGGGTGAATTAAGTCCATTAACATTAAGCATTAGTACTGATAGGTATGTTGGTGATTCCTGTCATTTAGTTGTCTTAGTTGTTTGAAGGTTTTGATTGTGTGTACCTAAAGTTGAGGTTACTCTCTACTTTCTTGCTTTTTCTTTCCTGTAGTTTGGTGCTGCCTGTTCCTTTTCATGGTTATGTTGGGTTTCACTTTCTGTGTGCAGAATCCCTTGAAGAATCTTTTGTAGTGGTGGCTTTGTGGTCACATATTGTTTTAGTTTCTGCTTATCATGGAAGCCTTTTTATTGCTCCATCTATTTTGAATGATAGTTTTGCTGGGTAGAGTATCCTGGTGGTTGAAATTATTTTCATTATTCAGTGCCCGGAAGTTTCTCACCCCAAGCTCTTCTTGCTTTTAATGTTTCTGTTGAAAAGGCTGCTGTGATTTTGATGGCTTACCTTGTATGTTATTGTTTTTTCTCTCTTACAGACTTCGAATTCTTTCTCAGGCTCTGTATTTGTTGTTTTAATGATAATATGCCATGGCGGTAGATCTATTTTGGTCTGGTCTTTTGGTGTCTCTGGAGGCCTCTTGCATGTGTATGGGAATTAGATTTCTCTAGATTTGGGAAACTTTTCTGTTATTATTTTGTTGATATATTACGCATTCCCTTTTCTTTGCACCTCTTCTCCTTCTTCAATGCCCATGATTCTCAGGTTTATTTTTTTGATGGAGTCGGTGAGTTCTTGCATTTGCTTTTCCAGGTCTTGAGTTTTTAACTAATAGTTCTTCGGGTTTTCCTTTAATTACCATTTCATCTTTGAGTTATGAGATTCTGTCTTCTGTTTGTTCTATTCTGCTGGATTGGCCTTCCATTTTGTTTTGCACTTCTGTTTCGTTCTTTTTTCTGAGGTTTTCCATATCCGAGTCGTTCCTCTTTAATGTTGTCATTTTTGTCTGAGGTTCATTTATCTCTTTATATAATCATGTTCTTTTGTTTCACTTTTGGTGTTTATAGGTGCTTCTATGGTTTCTTTATTTCTTCTTGTCTTTTTCAAATTCTCTATTTTTGTTGTCTTGAATCTCAATGGATTTTATAATGGACATATTCAGATGAATACTGAAGACTACCAACTAATTAGTATGCTGCAGAAGAACAAAAGAGCATGGAAGAAAAATTTCAAGAAAATATCTTGGGTTTGAGGCACAGCTCAAATGCTAAAGCACTTTGCTTAGCAAGTACCAGATCCTAGGTTCACTCTCCAGTACCATTAAAAAAAAATCTTAGCCTGACACCACTGGCTCACACCTATAATCCTAGCTACTCAGGGAGGCAGAGATCAGGAGGATTATGGTTTGAACCCAGCCTGGGCAAATAGTTCATCAAGACTTTATCTCAAAAATACTCAACACAAAAAAGGGCTGGCAGAGTGACTCAAAATGGTAAAGAGTGCCTCCTAGCAAGCCATGAGGCCCTGAGTTCAAACCCCCAGTACTGCTTAAAATAAATAAATCTTGTTTTTAATTCTTCCTGGTCTTAGACAGTTCTTCCATTAGTTAGGAATTAGGGAAAAAAAAAATCAAGAATTAATGAACTTTAAGATGATTAGAGAAAAGAAAGAAAAAATTAAAAAAAGTCCAAGGAATTTAACAACAAAGGTCAAAGAAAAAACCTCACATGGGAAATTGAGTTGTTGTGGTGGAGTTGGCTCAAGTGGTAAGAGCACCCGCCTAGAAAGAGTGAGGCCAATTTCAAACCCCATGCTTGCACCCCCCAAAAAAAAGACAAAAGTGAGCTGTTAATAAGTTGATTTGCCCAAAATTTTCACAAACATGGATTTTTTCATTACTAAATACCACTAATGAAAGTATTTCAAAAATCTTTTTATAAAATATTTGGAATTTTTAAATGGTAAGATTAATGGTTTCTTAGATATGATACCAAAAGCACAAACAACAGAGGTGGAAAAAAACTAGATAAATAGCACATCCTCAAAAATTAAAAATGTTTTGTGTTCCAAAAGACACCACCAATTCCAAAAGACACCATCAATTCCAAAAGACACATCAATTACATCATTACAGGTTGTGTTTACACTTCTATAATCTCAGCATTTGTGAGGCTCACCTAGGAGGATTGTGAGTTTGATCTCAGTTTGATCATGAGTTTAAAGCCAGGCAGGGTAACATAGTTGAGACCCTGTCTCAAAAAATAAAATAAAATGAGCCAGGCACCAGTGGCTTATGCCTGTAATGCAGTTACTCAGGAAGCAGAGATCAGGAGGATTCACAGTTCAAAAGCCGCCCAAGGCAAATAGTTCATGAGACCTATTCCAAAAAAAAACCAATACAGAACAGGGCTGGTAAGAGTGGTTTAATGGTAGAGTGCTTGCCTAGCAAGCCTAGCAAGTGTGAGGCCCTGAGTTCAAGCCCCAGGTACTGCCAAAAAATAGTAATGATAAAAATAATAAAATGAAATTAATTTTTTTTTTTAAAAAATGGGTGAGGACCTGAGTAGAAATTTCTCCAAAAACATAACAAATGGCTAATAAACACATGAAAGATGTTGGACATTATCAGCCATTCAAGAAAATGCAGATCAAAACCAACAACGAAATACTTCTTCACATCTACATAGGATAGCTATAATTAGAAAGACAAATAATTATAAGCATAGGACAGGGATGTTGAGTAACTGGAATCTTAACTGACAGTAAAGGGTGTCGCCACTTTAGAAACAGTCTGACAGTTCTCTACAAGGTTAAAAACAGTTACCATGTGACCAGCAACAGTACTGGTAGATATACACCCAAGAAAAATGAAAATGTCCCATAAAACCTTGTGAACATCATTCACAATAGCCAAAAGGTAGAAACAAAACCAAATTCTACTGATAAATGGATGAATAAAACATAGCATATCCATAAATGGAATATTTGGCATAAAAGGAAATGACAGACTATATTTGCTGCAACATGGATGAACTTTAAAAACATGTTAAGTGAAAGAAGCCAGTCACCACGGAAATGTCTGACCATTTGTATGAAAAGTCCAGAATATGCAAATCTATACAGACAGCAAGTAGATTAGTGGTTGCTTAGGATCAAGGGTAGATAATGATAGCTAAAGTGTGCAAGCTTTTTATTGAAGGATGAATATACTTTAAATTCGTGTTGACGTCCTCACATATTTAAATACTAAAAACCACTAAGTTATACACCTTAAGTGAGTGAATTACATAGTATATGAATTTTATCTTGACGAAGCTTAAGAATGATAGGAGCATTAACTTTGCCCTGACTCACTTCCTCACAAGTAGGAACTTTGTTTGAAGAAGCCTGAAGAGCTTCCCACAGTGCAGAATTGTGACTCCATGTTAAACTTTCCAAAATCTGTTCTTCAATGCTGTTCAGATGTTTTACCATGTCCCTGGAGAGCCCCTCCTCTGAGCGGATCACCACCTCAATAACCTGGAGAGGAAAAAGTGGAAAAGGCAATGTGTTTTCAAGTAATTAGCTCAAGTCTGGGTTTAGAAGCATGACTGGCTCCAGCCTTATTTTGTGACACAGAACCACCGCATCTTTGAGACATAATTCTGTAGCTAACTAATATCTTTTAAGTTATCAAGGAGTTTTTAAGTTCTTTAAAAATATTTTTCATTTACATTTCTTGGTTTTTTGCAATACTGGGTTTGAATCCAAAGCTCTACACTTGAATGACTTCTCTAGCACTTTTGTTTGTATTTTTCAGATAGGGTCTTGCTAATTTTGCCTGGGCTGACCTTCAGCTTATGATCCTCTTGCCTTTATCCTCCCAAGTAGCTGGGTTTATAGATATGAACACATAATGCCCAGCTATAGTTCTGGATTTTATGAAAAATTGACACAATAGGAAGAAACTGCTCACCAGACCAACAATGGCAGAAGTCAAGTCTTGGGTCTCTAGTCTAGTTGTTGTTTTTTCTTTTTACTCACATATATTAATTGTACAAAAGGGTTTCAATGTGACATTTCCATACATACCTATAAAAATTCACCCCTTCAGCTGGGTACAGTGGCTCATACCTATAATCCTAGCTACTTGGGAGGCTGAGTTTGGAAGAATCACAGTTAGAGGCCTGACTGAGGAAAAAGTCTGTGAGACTCCATCTCAACCAATGAAAAGCTGGGCGTGGTGGCTCACACCTCTCACCCCAGCTATGAGGGAAGCATAGCTGCATGCACTTTGGGGAACACTATAAGGGAAGCATAAATTGCAGTTCAGGCTAGCCCAGGTATGAATACAACACCCTATTTGAAAAAAATAACCGAAGCAAAAAGGGCTGGAGGTGTGGCTCAAGTCATAGAGCACCTGTCTAGCAAGTATAAGATCTTGAATTCAAACCCCAGTAATGCAACAGAACAAATAACCCACTCCAAAACAAGTATCAAACAAACCTTCAAACTAATTTCTCTGTCAGTACTTTGAAAGTAGTATAGAAGGGCTCAAGTAGTAGAGCACAGGAAGCCCTGAGAATTCAAACCCCAGTACTGTGAAGAAAAAAAAATAAAAAGAAAGAAAAAGATACAGAGCACAAAGGACTAAACGTTAACTAAATTCTGCCAAAACCCAACAATAGTGTTAGATGTAAATTTCAACACTAGATACATTAACTGAGATTGACTATAATGATGGAGTTCAGTAGTTATGACCTATTTTGTAAGAGAAAGGTTAATAGAAATAGTTCTAGTCGGGGTGGGGGAGAAAAGATAAGATTCATCTCCACTGAACTGGCTCAAGTTTAGGGAAGAAGCATGATCTGTTACTACACCTTCATTAACTAGACCATCACCACAATCCATTTTGTTTCATTTCTTTTTCTTTTGCAGTGAGGGTCTTACACATGGTAGTGCTTTACCCGAGTTACACCTCTATCCCACCACAATTGCTTTTAGACTGCTTCTTTCTCCTGCGAGAAAGTGTTGCTCTTCATCATGCATCTGTTTGATAGGCTTATGATTTTTTATTCATACATAGGGAAATTTGAGGTCAAATACTTAGTACCAGGTCACATTCAAAAGTTCGTGATGGAAAATGAACTGGAGCTGTGAAATTGTGTTAATTTACTGACATCCTCATCCTTTCCTTCTGTCCTTGATTTCACCCAAAAGAAATACATATTATCCAAACCCCTCAGACATCACAACTTTGTTTCTTCAGTACTGAGATAAATACAATGTTTATGTGAGGTTTAGCATAACAGAATTTTGGTATCATCTCACCTTATAGAAATAAAATGGTTGTAAATTGAGAACATCAATAATCCAGGGGAAAGTACGAGGTGAGCTGTAGGCAAAAAGTACAATTTCCAAACAACAAGCCATCAGGGAACGATGAAATATATCCTGTTCTAAAAGAACCTTGGGGAAGAAAAAGATAGTTTAGTATTTCTGAGCAATTCAGTCTTTGTCACTCTAAAAAACTGTAACCTAACACTTGGGAGCTGAGGCAGGAAGATCATGGGTTCAGGGAGACCCTATCCCCCAACCAAAAAAAAAAAAAGAAAGAAAATTCTAAAAAAGATAAACTAACCTGAAAAACTTAAATTATGCTAGACTATGAGATTAAAATTAAAGTTTTGGGGCTGAGGAGTAGCTCAGTGATAGAGCGTTAGCTTAGGATGTACAAGGACCTAGGTTCAATCCCCAGAATCCACACACAAACACACACACACACACACACACACACAGGGTTCTCAGATTGGTAGTCTCTTTATATCTAATCTTGTTCAGTGTAGAATTTAAATTTAAATGAGGTGCACGTAACATTCTGCTTTGAAATCTGAATAAATAAATAAATAAAATAGTCAATGTTTAAATTAAAAGAATAGCTTTAGGATTGAAGCTTTATCTTTTTAAAGAAAGTTAATTGTTTTGTCAGCATAAGTGTTTATTAATCAAAGCATCGAAACTGAAGGTAAAATGACATACAATTAAGACAAAAAATTTCAGAGAAAAATATTTCAGAGCAGGTAAAGACCTCTTTCACCATTAACTTTAAAATCTAATATGTTTTCAGTTTTTAAAATCCCGTGTGTTGGACTGGTGGAGTGGCTCAAATGGTACAGCGCCTGCCTAGCAAGTGTGAGACCCTGAAATCATGTTTTTCCATCTTCTTTCAAATATCAAAATGAGTAAGAAATAGAAACTCCATTTTAGATAAAACTAGGACTCACTTGTAACTACAAAGCACAATATATAAAGCAGATCAAAAGATCAGCAGATAGATGCATAGCCAAATGTAGAGATACTTAAAGAATTCTGCTCTAAGAAACCAGGGAAAACAAAGCAAATGAGAGCACAGATAGAATGGAAAGTAGGTGTGAGGCAGGGGCTGACAGAGATTTCTAAGTCTTTAAGAGTTAGAGCCCCTCAGGTCCCTCCCAACTCCTACTTTAAGGGAGCGATGATAATCCTCCAGTCTACCCCCACAGGAGTCTGATGATAATCCTCTAGTCTACCCCCACATGAGTCTGAACAATTCTCTAGAGATTCAGAGCTAAAGACAACAGGAACAGAAGACCTGGGATTTTGGTGAATGTCTGCAGACTGAATTGTGAGACCAAATTTCCCTTCCTTGTTTTTCTTCACAAAACCAAACAGCCAGGTAAGAGATTAGAAAATCTGAGGGGAAAACAAAATTCCAAAAAAGCCTTACAGATACTTAACACATGAAAGTCCCTAATACTACCTAATCACTGAAGCCATTAGACTTTTATCTCCACTCTTCCATACTTTTAAATCGGCTTTTTAGTGCTTTAGTCAAATACAAGCAGATAGCCAAGAATCTTCCAACATTTGAAGAAAACCTCTAATTGAAATACATAAGTCAAACATACAGAAAAATCCAAACACTACAAAGTAAGCACCAGAAGAAAACATCAAAGAAATATAATTAAGCTGGGTATCAGTGGCTCACACCTGTTATCCTAGCTACTCAGGAGGCAGATATCAGAAGGATCGCAGTTCAAAGTCAGCCCCGGGGAAATAGTTCGTGACACCCCATCACAAAAGAGGGCTAGCAGAGTGGCTCAAGCACTAAGAGTACCTGCTTAGCCTGAGTTCAAACCCCAGTACTGTCAAAAAAAAAAAAAAAGAAATGGAAAAGATTAGTGGCTGAGCGGAGTATGACTATAAAGGGGAACAGCATGAAGGACAGAGCTTTGTAGTGACGGGACACGGTAGTCCCCCCTTATCGATCGTTTTGCTTTCTGAGGTTTCACTACTTCGTCAACAATGGCCCAAAAATCTTAAAATGAAAAATTCCAGAAATAACGACTTGTAAGTTTTAAATTATGTACTATTCTAATAAGTACTATGAGGGAACATCATGCCATCTACTCTAGCCTGCTCCAGATGTGAACCAGCTCTTTGTCTAACATATCTGTGCTGCATATGCTACCTGCTCATGAGTCACTTGGTTGTGGTTTCGCCTGGTATCACAATGTTTGTGTTCACATAATCCTTATTATACTTAACCAATGTGCAAGACTAGTGATGCTGGCAATTTGAATATGCCAAAGAGAAGCCATAAAGTGCTTCCTTTAAGTGAAAAGGTAAAAGTACAATATTTTGAGATGGACTACATACAAACTTTTATTATTATTATTTTAATTTATTACATTATTATAAGTAGTCTGTATTATTTTTAGTTATTGGTGTTAATCGCTTACTGTGCCTAACTTATAAATGAAACTTTATCATAGTTACATATGTATAGGAGAAAAAGTACAGTACAATAGGTCAAGAACTATTGGCAGTTTCAGACATCCAGAAAAGAAGGCAATCAGGTATTTTGATTCTTGGGTGGTTACATAATCTACATGATACAACCATAGAGGAATATGCGTATCACTGCAATGCCAATTTCTTGACTTTCATATTGTACTATATAAAATGTAATCACTGGGGGAAACTGGGTAAAGACTATATAGGATCTCTCTGAACTACTATACAGTTATTTCAAACTAAATTTAAAAATTTTACTTTTCTTAATAAACTATAGGGGCACACCCATGTTTACTGCAGCACTGTTCACAAGCCAAGTTATGGAAACAGCCAAGATGCCCACTACCGACGAATGGATCAAGAAAATGTGGTATCTATGCACAATGGAATTTTATGCAGCCATAAAGAAGAACGAAATGTTATCATTTGCTGGTAAATGGATGGAATTGGAGAACATCATTCTGAGTGAGGTTAGCCTGGCCCAAAAGACCAAAAATCGTATGTTCTCCCTCATATACGGCCATTAGATCAAGGGCAAACACAACAAGGAGATTGAACTTTGATCACAAGATAAAAGCGAGAGCCCACAAGAGAGAAATGAGGATAGGTAAGACACTAAAAAAATTAGCTAGCATTTGTTGCCTCAACACAGAGAAACTAAAGCAGATACTTAAAAGCAACTGAGGCAACAGGAAAAGGGGACAAGGAACTAGAGAAAAGGTTAGCTCAAAAAGAATTAACCTAGAAGGTAACACACATGCACAGGAAATTAATGTGAGTCGACTCCCTGTATAGCTATCCTTAACTAGCAAAAACCCTTGTTCCTTCCTATTATTGCTTATACTCTCTCTTCAACAAAATTAGAGATAAGGGCAAAATAGTTTCTGCCGGGTATTGAGGGGGTGGGGGGGAGAGGAAGGGGGCAGGGTGGGTAGTAAGGGAGGGGGTGGGGGCAGGGGGGAGAAATGACCTAAGCATTGTGTGCACATATGAATAATAAAAATAAATAAATAAAATAAAATAAAATAAATAAATAAACTACAGGGGCATATACTCTAGTAAGATGTTCAAGTACCTGGGTGCTGGTGGCTCATGAATGCAATCCTCGCTACCTGTGAGGCTCAGGAGAGGGTTTGTAAGGCCCCATCTTCAAAATAGCCAGAGAAAAATGGACTGGGGGCGTGGCTCAAGTGATAGCCTGTTTTGCAAGTATGAGGCCCTGAGTTCAAACCCCAGTCCTCCTGCTCCCCCAAAAAACAAAAGTAAACCACACAAAAGAGAAAGACAAGAAATTCAGGAAAAGGAAAACCAACACAAAAGGAAAAAAATTTCAAAATGAAAGTAAAAAGAAATTTTACTTTAAAAAAAATTAAATCTCTTAAAAAATGAAATTCTACTTTAATAATTATGCTGCATCCTTAGGACACTAACCTGTTTCTAGTGGAATACAAGATCAGAAGACAAAGAGTAGATGTAGGAGGAAGGGCAGAAAGAGGAGGAAACTGAAAAAGGTTATATGATAGGTTTGACTTTGTAGAAAAATTCTTTTATATAGCTACCAGAGAGAGTGATCAGATTTGGCAAATGTTCAAAGAAAAAGAATAAGAATTTTTTTTTAGAAAATGACTATTTTATAATTCAAAAATCTTTGGAGAGGTATAGGGGGAAAAAAAAAGACCTAAAGGGAAAAACATGATGATAAAAACTCCCAAAGATGAATTTTACATTCTGCCTACATGTGGATAGGCCAAAGTCAACTAAAGCAAATTAAAATGTCTTGGTCAAGTGTTCTATAAACTGCTGAGCCCACAATTCCCTATGGAGCCTTTCAAAATGCTGCTTCCATTCTAGGTTTCTGGGACCTTACCAGCAGCTGGGAGAGTAGATTTACTTACCGACATGTCCATTCCATGAAGCCTCCGGGTTTCCTGAACCATAACAGTCTCTAATATTTTATAATATAAAATTTCTGCCAGCTTTAGTCTGTTGACAGCAAAGTCTAAAGGGTAGTAGAGGGAAAAAAGCATATGCTGTTGAAATCTAGTTAGGAACTGAAGAACAAAACTTACATACATTAAGAATAGCAGGGAGGTTTGGGATGTCTAATACATACATACATGGAAATGTCATAATGAAACTCCCTATATAGCTATCTTAAACAAACACAAATGTCTTTTTTTCAAAAAGGAAGGACAGGAAGGTAAAATAGGTCCTGTGCTAGGGTTGGTACCAATGGGAGGGGGAGGATATAAGGAAAGGGTGTAGGAGGGTGAATATGGTGGAAATATTACGTACTCATGTATGAAAATGTGATCTGTTGAAACTGTTCTGAAGAGGGAGAAGGGGGATAAAGGAAAATGATGGAGGGGGTGAATTTAACTAAGATATATTATAAGCACATTTGTAATGTGACAATGTATCCCCAGTACAACAATTAAAAAAAAAAAAGAATAGCTGGGAAGGAAAACATGAATTTTGGGGGATATATATACTTTCTTTCTCTTTTCTCATTTTTTGTTTTTGGGGATACTGAGGTTTAAACTCAGGGCCTCACGTTTGCTAGGCAATGGCTCTCCCACTTGAGCCATGCTCCCACTCCTTTTTGTTTTAGTTATTTTTCAAGTAGGGTCTCCTATGTTTTGTCCAGGCCAGACTGGAATTTGATCCTCCTACTTATGCCTTCCATGTAGCTGGGATGTTAGGCACGTGCCAACAACTTTTTTTTGTTGAAATGGATCTTGCTAACTTTTTGACTGGGTTGGGCTCAAACTGCAACCTTTTCTCCACCCCCATCTCCACCTTCCAAGAAGTTGGGATTACGAGTGTGAGCCACTGTGCCTGGCTATCTACTTTCAATGCTGTACTAACTGTAGTTTTTTTTCTTACCCATGTGAGATCCTGGCTGTTCATCTGTTGATTGAGTATAGTGTTGGCAGAAAGTCTCTCCTATTCCTTTCACTATTTTCATGATGTTTTCCACAGGGTTCCGGATACAAGATCTACAAAATACAAGAGAAACCTAATTACCAGGAAAAAACCCAGACAACCAACATTTCCCCTTTCGAAAATTAGTTTGGGCTAGGCACTGGTGGCTCATGCCTGTAATTCTAGCTACTTCAAGAGGATTGTGGTTCAAAACCAGCCTGGGCAAATAGTTCTCTAGACCCTGTCTCAAAAATACTCAACACAAAAAAGGACTGGAGGAGTGACTCAAATGGTAGAGTGCTTGCCTAGCAAGCAGGAGGCCCTGAGTTCAAATCCCAGTGCCACCCAAAAAAAAAAATTAGTTTAATAATCCTAGAACTAGGGAGGCTTAAGGCAGGAGGAACCACAAGTTTAAGACCAGCGAGACACTATCTCAAAAAACACCAAGACAAACAAACAAAAATCCTTAAGTTAATATGTTTTTTAGTGATCAAAGTTCTATTCTCATAAGCCTACAAATATGAACAAAGCTTTACATATATAAAATAATAAAGATATGTAAAGTGTCACACATTATATACAATATTTTTTACACAGTAAAACCTTTTATGTTGAACTGGAGGTGTGGCTCAAGTGGTAGAGCTCCTGCTTTGCAAGTACAAAGCCCCAAGTTCAAACCCCAGTCTCACAAAAAAAAAAAAGCTTTTTGTTTTTATAGATGACTACTTTATATACCTCATTATAAGTAGAATCATGCAGTATTTGTCATTTGTGATTACTTCACTTAGCATAGTGTACTCAAAGGTCATTCATATTGTAGCACATAACAGAATTTCCTTCTTTTTTAAGGCTAAATAATATTCCATTCTGTATATATACTATTATCTTTATTCATACATGAATGAATAAAAATTTGGATGCTTCCACATCTTGGCTATTGTGAATAATGCTGCAGGGAACATGGCATACAAAATAGTCCTTTGAGGGCTATTTTCAATCTTTTTCTTTGTTTGGTTATTTTTGGTGGTACTGGGGTTTGAACTCAGGCTCTCAAACTTGCTAAGCAGGTGCTCTACCACTTGGGCTACTCCACTAGCCTGCTATTTTCAATCTTTTTGGGTATATTTCCAGAAGTGGTACTGCAGGGTCATATAATAGTCTTACTTCTACATAATGGTTGCATCACTTTATGGTCCTACCAACAATGCAGAAGGGTTCTAATTTACTCAGGATCTTCACCAATACTTGTAATTTTCTTATTTTTTTTAAATAAGATGGAAGGGAAGATCATCCTAATGAATGTGAGGTAATTTCTCATTGTGGATTGTTTTTGGTGGTAATGAGGTTTGAACTCAGACTCTGTGCTCGCTATGTAGGTGCTCTATCACTTGAGCCGGCCTCCCAACTCTTCATTGTGGATTTGATTTGCATTTCTCTCATTAGCAATGTTCAGCATTTAAAAAAAATTTTTTTCCAGGGTGCAAGGCAGTCCCCCACTACCACAAATTATGTAGTTGAGTTTCCCACAACTGGGGAAATCGCAGAGGTCAGCACATCTAGAGTGCAATGGATAAGCCTTGCCCTGGAAAAACCACCTTCGTGATCATGGAATGTCCCCCAGGTAAGTTAAGAACATTTTTTCATATGCTTATTGGCCATTTGTTTATTTCCTCTGAAGAAAGGCCTATTTGAATCCTTTACACATTTTAAAATCAGGTTGTTTTTTCTTGTTATTGAGTTGTAGGAATTCTTAATATATTCTGGATATTAACTCCTTATCAGAGATACAGTTTACAATTATTTTTTCTCATTCCATAGATTGCCTTTTCACTCTGTTATTTCCTTTGCCGCGTAAAACTTAAAGTTTGGTGTAGTCCCATTTGTCTACTTTTGCTTTTGTTACCTGTGTTTTTGTTGTCATACTCAAGAAATCATTGCTTAAGAACTTTCTCAACGAAACCCCAGCAGCACAGCAACTAAGAGATGGCATAGATAAATGGGACCTCATAAAGCTAAAAAGCTTCTGTTCATCAAAAGAAATGGTCTCTAAACTGAAGAGAACACCCACAGAGTGGGAGAAAATATTTGCCAACTATACATCAGACAAAGGACTGATAACCAGAATATATAGGGAACTTAAAAAACTAAATTCTCCCAAAACTAATGAACCAATAAAGAAATGGACAAGTGAACTAAACAGAACTTTCTCAAAAGAAGAAATTCAAATGGCCAAAAAACACATGAAAAAATGCTCACCATCTCTAGCAATAAAGGAAATGCAAATTAAAACCACACTAAGATTCCACCTCACCCCTGTTAGAATAGCTATCATCAGCAACACCACCAACAACAGGTGTTGGCGAGGATGCGGGGGAAAAAGGTACCCTCTTACACTGCTGGTGGGAATGTAGACTAGTACAACCACTCTGGAAAAAAATTTGGAGGCTACTTAAAAAGCTACAACATTGATCTACCATTTTGATCCAGCAATACCACTCTTGGGGATATACCCAAAAGACTGGACACAGGTTACTCCAGAGGCACCTGCACACCATGTTTATTGGCACTATTCACAATAGCCAAGTTATGGAACAGG